AGAATGCTTATCCAGTTTGGGGTTGCTGGCTATTGAACAAGAAACTTGCGAGCAATTGAACTTTACTTCTTTTATACACAAGTTTGCTTCCAAAAAAGTTTGAAAAATTCGTTTCAATTAAAAATGTTTAATTTTTGTTACAATACCACAACTCCTTCCCTCATCCCAATGGCGTGACGTAATTTATGAACGACCCCAAAGTAGCATGATGCCCCTTTAAAAAAAGTCACGATTTAAAAAAAATGTATTAATGGTTATATAAAATTGTAACGATAAACAAATGTAAATGTATGATAATAATTGAATTTGTAACATTGTAATTTTATCATGACATGTCGCTATCTAGATATCGCAACTTTGTTGCTATCAATATTATTACGATATATTGTTAGTACATATTGTAGCATTGTAGCTATAACATAACGACAGCTCTATTAATAGTTGATACATATCGAAGCTAGTTAGTTAATGTTGTTGTTACGATATATCGATAGCTAGATATCGTAGCTTTGTTACTATTAACACGGCTGTTTTAGATTAAACTACCAAAATGATAATATAAAGATACAACAACAAACAAAAAGTTATAAAGATTTGGGTGGTACAAATAAAAATCTGAAATAATGCGCAGTCTGTAAAGATACTGAATTAACAAAAAAAGTTAAAACGCCTTAAAGCATTTTAAATCAGATATGTTCAAATCTATAATTAATAACACCTGTTTTGATTCATTTTTAAACTGCTGTATACTAACTTTTTTCGTATTTGCAATATTAGGAAACTTTTTCTACAAATAAGCTCCACGATATTGAATTGAATATGTAACTTATTTTGAATTATATTAAGGGATGATGTCTTTATTATCTGAAAATTTTGCCGGGTATTTATGCGCTACTTTTTCAAAATAGGAAATATTTTAGGAGGTAGTCCCATCTTTGTTTTATACATAAACATTAAAAATTGGTGTAAGTTGATTTTATAAACGTTTAATTCGACAAGTATATGCAGAGGAGGCTTGCATGGTACAATTTTATCCGCTCCAAATTATATTCTGCACGCATGTTTTTGTTTTCTGTTCAATTTTTTAAATTTTGATTTGCCCACGCAATATTACAATAAATCAAATATCAATGAATGAAAGAAAAATACAAACTTTTTAAAGATTTATTGATTAGAAATGGTTTAGCCCTATATATCATGGCAATATTTTTTGATATTTTTTTCTCAATGCTTTTTATATGATCATTCCAACGTAAAAGTTTCTCTTTTATTGTCAACGTTATTGATTATTAAATTTGGAAGTTCATTGGGAATATTTTCTAATTTATTTACTTTGTAAAATAAAATAAATTTAGTTTTATCCACATTTAGAGAGAGAGAATTTATTATTTTATTATTATTTGTTGATGCGCATAACCTTGCATTTCTTGACGTTGAGCTCCATTAACTTGGTTCGAGTCCAGGTTATGATGCTATCCATATCAGCTTGTAGACGAGCTTTGTCTTCAGCGGTTTTGATGACACTCAGAACTTCAGTATTGTCTGCGTACACTTTACAGATGTTAGTTTTACTACTAACGTGTTCAAGCAAATTTTTGATGAAGATTAAGAAGATCGTATGAACTAGCACTTAACTTTGCGGAACGCTACTGGTAACTTGTTCCCAGTTGGATGAGGTACGAGAATAACGCGTTGTGGCCTATTTGAAAGAAAAGCTTTATTTTAGCCAAGAAATGTACCCAAGAGTTTTTCAGTAGGATTCTAGTTTTTGCAATAGTCTTTTTTGAGAGATTTTGTCAAAAGCTTTGGAAAAGTCAAGAAAGAGCACGTCTATAGGAAGTTTATAAAATACGCTGCACGTTAGAAAGTCCATGGTCTCGAGTAGATTCGTGTTGCAGGCTTTTTTATTGATGAAGCCGTATTGACAATCAGCATTAAGTTTGGTGGCTACTAGGTGCTCCATGATCTTGTCGTTTACTATTTTTTCATAAATTTGCATGGCACAGAGCCGATGGAGATTATCCTGTAGTTTGCTGGGTCAAGTCTGGAGCCTTTTTGGAACAGTGGCATTACGTTTGCCAAGAACAATGACTTTAGGATTACGACTTACTATTTTTTCATCTAACAAATTTTGAAAAATAATGGCAAATAGGGCAACCGCCGCATTAGCATATATATTAAGCACAAATGGACTAATATAGTCACATCCAGTTGATTTTTTAGTGTTGAGAGCAGATAAGTATTTGTGAATGGAATCTTAAGTGAAGATAAAGATTGATTTGACGGTTCAACCGTAAATGCTGACTGGAACTGATTGTTTAGTATATTGGCAATGAATGCTTGGCGCTGCTTATTTTCCCAGTGGTTGAGCACTTAGAATTTATTTGATTGCTGACGGTGCTTTTGCTATTAACATAAGCGCAGAGACATTTAGCGTTCTATTTATTGTTGGCTATTTTGTATTTGAACTCTCTAATCGCAAAGCAGGAAGCTTTTTTGACAAGGTTTTGAGTAAAGTTGTACTCTTTGACAAAAGGAACGATTTGGCATTTGCTGTTGCGGTAAAGGTACCAAAGTTTTTTTTTTGAGTTTGGTTAACAAGAGAAGTTCGCTTGTCAGGCAAGGCTTCCTAAGTTTGGTCAGTTAAAAGGGGCGCACGGAATAAAATTGTTGCATCATTTGATAAAGT